CTAGTATAATAGTTAGTATTATAGCTATTTGGCTATACTTCACTATTATTAATTAGTCTCTAGGTCAATTTATATTGAGTCACTTATATTAAAATAGGTGTCAATTTATAGAACCCTATAAAGAATAGCTTAATTCTAATCTTATTAAAAGGATGTCTAGACCTTTATTGCAGAAATCTACCACCCTAACATCTTAAAAAACTATAAACCAGAGAACCTTAATGTATTAAAGAGGATTATATAGTAAGAGGGAAGATAGATATACTTTCTATAAAACTAGTAAAAGGCACTAAAAACATGTATTAATAGCCTATTTACCTTTTTATTAATAAAAACTAATTAAAAAATCCATCCTAGTTAATAAGTAAATCTAAATTATACTTATATAACATAGAACTTTTGGGCTATGCAGTAGTCTTAGGTTTAAGATATAAATAATTTCTAAAGTCTATGAAAGGGACCTTAAGAAGTATATAATTAAAGGGCGGTTGCCCTAAGGGCTGGTATTAGTAGCTATAAAGAAGTAATATATTATCTAGGGATGAAGTAATCTTAGAGGTTCTCTTAAGATTAGAGTATAAGAAATATTGCCCTAGAGGCTGTAATCATGGGCGTTTACTCTAATTATGCTTATTATTATTATTTAACTTCCTTTTTTAATTCTTATACTCCTCAAAAATCTCTTTAACTCGCACTGATAACATTAGAACTATATATATAAAGGAGGTAAGATATACTATTATTAAGATCTAATAGCTCTTAAAACCACTTATCCTTCTCTCTAATAATATTAGGGAATTTAGATGCCTTTATTTTATAAGCTAGCTTTTAATAACTCTTATAAGGTAAGCATATAAAACCTCACTATATGAAGCATAGCAAAATGATAAAAGTACATTTTAAGAAAATTTTATAGGAGAATTTATCTTACTTAAGGTATATTATAATAAACATAATATATTTAACACTATAATTAAGAGTATTTATAGCCTTTTTTTGGTTAGTAAAACATAACTTTAAATATATATAGTCTTAATATATTATTTCTGGATTAGTTAAGCTATTTTAATTAGAGGCTAGGTATTTAACTTTTAACTTTAAACTATTTAGTATATAATTAACTATAATATTTATGGTGCTTATAACAGCTTATAATTTTATCTTAAAACTTAATATAGATTATTTAGCTATAATAAGGTCTGTAATATGTGGGTCTTCTCTTTATAAATTATTTAAGTTTATGACAACCTTTAGGTCATTT